AAGCGGTGGTGGTCTCTCTTTGCTGCTTTTTCCAGATTGGAGACATCCCTTTTGCATAGGCAAATCAGGCAGTTAGCGACTTTCTACCTAATTTTGTCCCCAGTGTGCATATCTGCAGATCAGACTCAGAATTTCAGGCCGCCCTGATGCCGGTTCCCCGAGCCTTTTGGGAAATCAGCCCTGGATTCTTTGCACCCCTTGGCACAAACCGCAGGTGAGGACAGCAGAGCTGCTCCCGTCACCGCGGGGACAGGGGTGCATGCCCTCGTCTGCCTTCGGTTTATTCTCCTGCCAAGGTGGCACTCGGGTCACTTTGCTGCATATATCCCAGAAAGGCAGAGCGCAATTTCCAGCTGACAGGTAAAATACGCTGCTCAAGTGTTGTCCTTAAGGAAAGTCTCCCCTTGAATTTCCAGGACATCCTTTTTTTTCCTGATTTAAACATGTGCGGGCAGGGGAAGATGCTCCGGCATCTCTGTTGGACCACGGCGCGACGGCGGGTTTGAGTTCCCAGCCGCTCTTGCCCTGACCTCTGTGAGGCTGCAAAGGGCAGAGAGGAGACGATGACCCTCGTTAGTCTCTGGGGTGAACATTTTGGCTGTTTTTTATCCATAGGTGGCAGCAGCTGCCTGCGCTGGGCGGACACTGCCCGGATCCCAAACCTGGCACTGAGTGACACAGCCGGGGAAAACGCAACGCAGGAGGAAGAGGAGGAGGAGGAGGATGATGAGGAGGGCAGAGCCCGAGCACAGGTCATGCCTGCTTCCTCCTCAACAGGGGGAAAAATTAAGCAAAAAATTAGGAAAAAAAAGGAAAGCAAAAAAAAGGAAAACATTAAGCAAAACCCTCAGTGGTGCAGGATCAGGCCCTGCAGCACTCAAATCTGCATTTCTGCCGTGCCGGGAGCGAGCGCTGCCTTCCTACCCGGGATGAACACTGCTGCGCGCTCCGGCGCAGGGGGGTGGGAAAGGGGCTGCTGAGCGACTTTTCTCGCCATTGACCGAATTCCCGAAGCCACTGGGATGTCCCAACCCCAGAGGGAATCCGGCAGCAGCACGAAGCTTCATTGGCGGGGCACTGGGGTGCCCCATGGTCCCCAGGGTTAGCGAACACCCATCTGTGATGTCCCCCGAGGGCTGGCGGAGTCCAGGGGCAGCAGCTCCTTCAGCTCCGCAGCCTTTGCTGCCTTCCGGATGTTTCCGCCAAATATCAAATGGGACAAGAACGGCTATTTCCCAACGGCACGCACAACCAGCAGATAACAAAAGCCAGTCGCCAGCTGTAACACGGGGCCCAGAGAGCCAGATGTTAAAAAAAAAGGAAAACACGGAAAACTTGCTCAAAAGCAAACTGTAAGGATAAGTGCAGTCAACTCAGAGGTTCTAATTAGAGGAAAATCGAAGAGAAAATCTATCCAAATCTTGTCATCTGCTTGCTTTTAAAACAACTGCTTCTTGATCAATACAAATGAAATTTATCTTCCTCTCCTCAAGACACCCAGGACAGGCTTTGTCCTGGGAAACCAGACGGGATGTTCCATCAATCCCCCCCTGCTGCTCCCTCCCACCCGCGCTGCTCCCGCTGCATCATTAAGGCGAAACGGATTTGGCTTTGGGCTGAAGAGCAAACCAAGAACGTTTTGTTGGAGACTGTAATCCATCCACACGAGGAGATCGATGTGCCCGGACCCAGCAAAGCCCCGATTCATCCCCCACGGCTATGGATGCGGGATCGGGTCCCCGGTGCTGTCTGCTTAATGAGCTGATCCTTTAAAAAGCAGCCCAAAACGTGGGTGTAAGTGGTGTCGTTGCACAAAGGGACTGGGAAGTGTTTGTTCGTCTCTGCTCTATCATTAATTAAAGTAATTAGCCCACTCAGGCTCACTAGGGTACAAAGCCATCCCATACCCCGCTGGGAAGAATATATTCCATTATAGAATATAATCTCTCTATCAATATACTCTTAGTGCTCTGTAGGTTATTAGAGGGACTTAAAATAGAGGGATACATCTCTCAGGAAGGAATTGTGGAGGAATCTGAGAACTGACACAGCTTCACTAAAACAAAAGTGACTTTTCAGGTCTGAAGCACCCAATTTTTAGCCTATCTTTCCTTTCTGGGCCAGCAAAACCTGCCGAGCTCACGTCCTGGGGCTCTTGGTGCTTTGCAGCAGGCAGGGCTGGGAGCAAATGGTCCCGGCAGGGCTGGCCTGGGGGTCCCAGGGACCCCGAAATCAAACCACTCATCAAACCCGGTCGCGAGGCACAAAAACAAAGCAGGAAAACAACCACGTGGTTGTTTAAACTGCCCGTTGGTATTTGTATATTCAAAGTCCATGGCAGCCTTTAGCCAGCTCCTGCCCTGGAAAGCGCTGAGTCAGTATCATCAATGGGGAAACTGAGGCACGGTTGGAGCAACTTGGTCCCTGGCTGGATCATGCATGCTCTTGTGTCGGTCCTTAAACCTCCAGGGTAAATAAAACAATTAATTGGGGTTTTTTTTTGTTTTTTTGGTGTTTTTTTTTTATTTTTATTTAAGGTTTATTAACCTCTAGGGTAAATAAACAATTTATTTACAGCCTTGTGGTGCCAAGGCTTTCCCCGAAGCTGTCCCGGCTGATTTCCTGGGAGCGTCCACACGGGCTGTGCGCGGGGGCAGGCGCCCATCCCAGCGGCGATGGCAGGAGTGTTGCCCTGGTGCCATGGGCCCAGTGTGGGGGGGAACTGGGGACACCGGTCAGCCGGGATGTCCCCACGGCGGGGGAGGTGGCTGGAAAACACAGCCTCATGGGCAGCTCAGCCCTTCCGCACGTGGAGAGATCGATGTCCTCCTGCAGCAACCCAGCGCTGCCTCTCTGGGAACGGGCTGCGCGTCCCCGGTGCTTAACGAGTAACTCCGGCTTAATAATAAAAATCACAGACTGGGGGAGGAATGAATGCCACTGCATGAAGAACTTGCGCCACAACCGCCCCAGGCTGGGATATGAGCTCCCTCCTCCTCTCTTCAGCCTAAAATGGCCTAAACCGGCTAAAGCATCACCCCCCAAAAATGTTGTTTCCCACAGCTGCCCTCAAACTGCAAGTTTTTCCCGCAAACCAACGCCGAGCGTGCCGGGCCGCAGCATTCTGCCCTACAGTGTTGCTGAATTTAGGAGTGAGAATCAACAGCTAACACACAGCAAACACCAAACTGCCTTTGCGCAGATTCCGTGAGGCTCCTGCGTCTCTCCAGAGCGCTGTTTTGACACTTAAAATCGGGTTCACTTTCCTATTTCCATTCCACCCCAAAAGCAATTTTCTCTAAAGTTCCTTTTTTCCTCTTACGTCGATGTGGCACTGCGGCGGCTCTCCGGGACTCGCACCCTGCCGTACCGGTGGTTGACAGACCAGCAGCTATACAGCGCGTTATACCGGGACGCAAATATGGGGCTGTATTTCCCCGCGGGTTGTACTTAGGCCTTGCTGCAGGCTTTTTCCTCTAAAATGGAGTCTTTTCCCCCCAAATTGATGCCGCTCAGGCAGATCGGAATCCCTGCAAATCCTCATTTATCTGTTTATTTATTTACACTCTAATTTTAAAACCCCCCCCCCCCCGCC